AAGGCAGCAGTTCAAACAGGGAATGTTCAGGATGTGACAAATCCTGCAAAACGTTCTTTGCTTTTTTCAAACATCAAGAACTATACAATTCCTCCAGGAATGGGAGAGGGCAGTCTCTTGGACTGCAAGGAGATAGAATCAGTCAATCCTAAAAGAAATCAACCCTGACCATTCCCTGGAAGGCCAGATACTGAAGCTGAAGCTCAAATACTTTGGCCACCCAATGAGAAGGGAGCACTCCCTGGAGAAGAAGACCCCGATGCTGGGAAAGACTGAAGGTCAAAGAAGACGGGGACAGCAAAGGATGAGATGGCTAGACAGTGTTACCAATGCAACGAACATGAGGTTGAGCAAACTCTGGAGGATGGCGGAAGACAGGAAGGCCTGGCGTGATCTGGTCCATGGGGCCGCGAAGAGTCGGACCAGACTGTGCGACTGAGCAACAAAGAGCAGAGACCTGCTCTTTTTACGGGTCTCTGCTCCGGTCAAAGCTAAAATGCAAAACACACATAAAACCCAAGTGTATTTCAAACGCTTTTGTTGTGGCTCACTGTTATCAGAATAGGACCAGCGGACATTTTAAGGCAAAGGGATTAGTGGTTTTGCTGCGTGTCCCTATTGGCATATTTCCTTTTCTATCAGTCCCGTTCTTTCCTATTTAAGAGAAGCCTGGTGTGACAAAATATATTTTTCCTATCCTAATTAGGCAGCTATTAAACCCACAGGAACAGTTTTTGAAAAATTACCTTATTTGTTGGGAAAATGCTTAAACAAAGGGCAGAATTATAACCTGTCTTGTTCCCCCCAGACTTTTGTCATTTCACAGAATGCCGTCTCAGGGGTTGCAGTTTAGAAGAAGTGAACAGATTGAGGTGGGCAAGGGCGACTTAGTTCGCTCTCTTCCTGCTATTTTCCTCTGACTCTCCTGTGCCCTTCCCCACCCCCCACCCCGTGGGAGAAAGGTTCCTGCGTTTGTGTCTCTCTGTAGCCCCCCTCCATGCAGATGAAGGCAGCTTAAAGCAGGGTGAATTGAGGCGGCAAGAAAGCACGAGGGTTTAAAAGAATGCAATAGTCCATCCGAACCTTTCGATCACAGAATGTACAGCTACAAGCAGTAAACAAATAAAAGGCTGGGGAAATCATCACTGGGCTCGGGATTATGCAGAACGTCATTCTGCTCCACTTTTGATACCTCCGTGCCGGTGAGATGTAGGCCTCTATTTAATATGCCTTTATGGGAAAGCTCTCAGCTGTGACCAACACTCCCAAGAATACCTACCTTCTCGCAAATCCCTTTTTTTCTCTGCAGTGAAGTTGTAGCCATCATATGTGAACCCTGCAGAGTTTGCAAGGCAAGAGACATTCAGAGGTGGTCGGCAGGGCTGGCCCCAGGGTTTTTTGCAGACTAGGCGAGGATACCTTCTGGCGCCCCCCCCCCCGTGCGCCCACCAGTTTTCAAACAAGGAAAAACAATACAAGGCCCAGA